CACCCCCCCACACAAAAAAAAAAAAAGGCACAAATGCTGCTGCTGCTGTAAGGAAGAACAGGATCACAGCAGGGCAGATTTAGGCAAGTCTTGAATTGGCATGGAAGCCCAATCTGTTTTCTGAGGCTTGTTCACCCACTGCAGGCTGTCAAAGAGGAGCAGCAGTCCCGCCATCTCTTTCCCCAGACAATTTATGTTTGTCCCTGTGCTCCTCCCTCCTGTGCATTAGCACCAATGGGGGAGTAAGGGGCATTGGGGTGGTTTTTTTGCTTGTTGTTGGTTTTTTCCCCCCCTCCCCTGCCCTCAAGTTTTTAAAAGTTGAAGTTTTGGGGTTCTTCTCTTCCAGTCTGGATCACTGTGGACTATGGGATCTATTGCCAGTGATGTGTGGGGAGGGGTGGAGTAATGGCACGTCTCCCTTCAGTGGTGGTGCTGATCAGTGTAAAGTGCTAGTGAAGTAACATTATTAGAGCATACCTGGAAGGCTCTAGCACAAAACTGGAAGCAGGCACTTTGTTGAAATGACGACTGCAAGGCAAGAAATGATTCTGGGGACTGGAAATTGAAAGCCGAGCGCTGTCTCCTCTGCTGCCTGCCCCTTTCAGTTGGGCATCCAAACTGATGGGCTACCAATGTGAGTGGTCTCCAGGTTTATCTCTAGCTTGGTGTATAAAAGTGCACAGAGACACAGACTAAAGAGTAGAAAGGTGCTCCCACCCAGACTCAACTGGTTGATGGGGTGTTCTCCCTAAGTCTGGGGTGGTTTAAAGGAGACCATTGAACACAGGACTTCCATATCTTGGGGACGTACTCAGGTATAGCAGGATGCACGCTTTCATGTTAGAATTTTGACCTCTGTGTCTCATGAAAAAGAAATCAAGGGGGTTTGTGTATCCTTTGAAAGAATAGTTGGAGGCATCTCACCTGTAGAGGAGGCTTCTGGGCTCTAAACGCCAGGTGTCTGAAAGTGTCTGCTTGGAGCACTGCATTTGGCACCTGCTCTGTGTGAGGTACTTGAGGGGATTTGCTTGGGGAACGGGGGTTACTGCTGACATTCCCTGTCTTGAGACAGTGAATCTGAGCTACCTCTACACACTCCTGATTTCTTCTGTAGGACCAGGCAACTAAGAGTTAGGTTTTGCAGAATCTAAGTTTGATACCTATCTTGGGAGTTTTACTACATTAACTTTTGCATTAAAAACTTTAAAAATGAGCTGCTTCTGAGAATCCGTGGAAGGTTGTTACTGCTTCGGTACGTGTTTAAATTGCCAAGACGTTATACATATGTGCAAGCTCTTCTTTGGACTGTTACGCCTGATAGCACAAGGGTGAAGAGAGGAAATGGCTTTGTGGGAGTTCTGCGCAGACAGGGTGTATCTGACACGGAGTGCCATCAGCCTGTATACCTCACGATACATAGGCAAATATAATACAAGTGGTATGTGCCTGGAGATTTGAAAGTGCTTTTTAATTTTTTTTTTTTAATTTTAAGTTTGATCCAAAAAAACCCTCCGGCTTTTCAGGCTAAGTAATTGTGCTTCAGGTGTGAGCTGGCTATGTGGTAGTTCACAACCTGTATATTTGGGGAGATTGGTCTATGCCTGGTATACTGAAGGGTTGTTTTACTTTCTTTGCCCTTTTACATTTGTTATGCTGCTATGTTTATCATTGTGCAGGTATTAACTTTTATTATACAGCTAGGAATGTTGAGCTGTTGTCATGCATGAGATGCATGTTGGATTTTGGTTTTGGTTTGTCTCCCTCAGTTTGCAGTGTATGTTTTTACTCTGTCATAACAAAGAAATATCTTCACATCTCTTAAATCTCTTCCATTATTTTTTAAAGTATACTTTGCATAGCAATGCAAAGAATTCCTTCCAAAATTTCTTGAGGAGGTGCCTTGGTCTGAGTGTGGATCTCACATTTGACCCCACAAGATGAGAGTTTTTAAGCATCAGGGTACAGCCTGTGAAGTTGGCTGTGTGGTGCCAGACTGTGAGCAGAGCTCTCTGCAGGCAAAGGGAGCTGGTGTGCCCTCACAGCTGGCAGGGGCCAGCCGCCAGCACCCTGACCAAGCAAGTGTGCTGAGCCCTGCTGGGAACGTGGCCTGCCTCGTGAAACGACATGGCTTTGGGATCGCAGTTTGCTGCTCGTCAGTTGGGGATTGCAAAGTGAGAACCTCAGCTAAGCAAGCATAACGTGCTGTATTTCCAAAACCCATGCTCTTTCCTTTTTCTGAAGGAGAAGGTAGGAAATGGCCGGCTAGCCTCGCCACTCTTACCTGTTAATGTGGAGGGCAGAGGGTTCCTCTGTCTTACAGCTTAGTGTTTGTATTTTGTTTTCATGCCTACGTTTCTCCCATTTCCTCCTCTTTGCCCTCAACTTGACCACCCATATTTGGCAGTGTGGTGGCAGTCAACTGGGGCCCCAAAGAGTCCCTGCTCCAGAGGAGCCTTCAGGAATGTCAGACTTCAGATCAAAAGCTCAGACTTCCCAAGGGCATTTTTCTTCTCTGTATTAAGGATGGAGAGAGACCTTTCTGTCAACCAGTGTTAAGATACGTAGGCAATTTCTGACAAGTAATACATCAGTGCTTGGTTTGGTGTCTGACCTGAGCCACCTTGTCTCATTCACAATGCAACGCCAAGCCTTGGCAATTTGTTCCTTATGTTCATGGTGATTCCACCCAGTGCCATATTGTCAAGTAGTTTCTCCAGCCAAACCTCTCTTCTCTGAACTGTAAGGGGCATGGAAATTTTCTTGAATGTGCCCTGGATATCAGAAGAAAGTTAATTTATTCTTTATGGGTGTTGTGAAGAAGTTAAGCACTGCTGCTGTTAGGAAGGTGTATATTTTGATTGCTTTCTACATGATTTTTAATATATTATTTGGAAAATATGCTGCTACTGAAAGTGCAAAGGATGAATACTGCTAAATATAAGAGGGCTTAGCCTCCCTTAGCAACTTGACTGAATTTTCAGTTCACTGTCGATCAATTTTAGCAGTAAATCCTTACCATGTGAGTAGCCAGGTCTCTGCTGCCTTCAGCAGTGTCAGGACCTTGGGTAATCTCTTATATTCCTAACTTTTTTGGTAGGTAAGAGAATGAGAACATAATCTGTTCTCATGTAAGAATAAATGGTGAAGGGAGAGGTGATGAACTTTTCTCCAATGCATTATTTTTTTTTTTGTTTCCATGTATTTTCACAACATGTTGAAGCACATTAGAAATGCCTTCCTTGTGCATGTCGTCTGTTTTCTAAACACCAGTCCAAACCAAATTACAAGAAAATTCTCCTTACCTCAGGTGGAAGGTATTGCATGCTGACCAATTTCTAAATCTTTGTGCTGTGAACTCTGGTTGTCTGTCATATGATAAGCTGCAAATAAGTTTGGCTTGGGAAAGGAGAAGGTTTTGGCAACCTACATGACTGGATTGTAACTACTGGTTTATTTGATACCTTGTGTAAAACACTAATTCCTGAAAGTGATTAATGGAGAATTTCAGCCCCTTTGAAACAAGCTGAGGGAAAATCTAGGTGCACTGTAAAGTTGACACTTAATTGTAACTTAAATTTTATATGGGTATATATGCACAGCCCAACTAACTGATTTGAATTGTGATAAACCCAGATGATTAGAAGGATATGGACAGGAAAAGAATCGAAAGCACCTCTTCTGCGCTTCCTAAGATTTAGAAGCATCATGAATTAGTTTCTAAAGCTCATTCTTTTCCTACTTTTCAGGTAGAGGTGGGTTCCTTCTTAAGTCATTTGGCTTCCACTGCCTTACTTAAGTGGCTGTAAATGCAAACTGACAGTTTCTGGTCTTCCTTTCCTGGACTTTATCTTTTCTGTTCTGTGTAGTACTTTTGTAATAAGGAACCGCACACATTCGGTAAGATGGTAACTGATAGCAGAAAGATTTTACGTACTCCTTAAAAAACATTTTGACTTCGGGGTTTTTCTCTAAACAGAAAAAAATCTCGCCGGAACAACTGACTCCTGCATCCCCTTCTCCTCATTCTTCTCCGGAGGGAGACAGTGGCACTACACAGATACTTAAAGATGGAATTAATTTGTCTGGTGCAACTGCAGCAGTTATATCCACAGGTAAAACACAAAGAAAAAAAAATAATGACACTTTTAGTGTGAAATGGCTTCCATTTCAAGCAAACAAGTAGTGTCATTTTATGGCAAATATACTGCAAACTTATTATAGTAAATCATTATCCAGCTACCTTATTTTCTAAAGATATTTGTAGGTGGCAGTGTTACTTTGCAGAACTAGTGTTTTGATGCCTGCATTATAGCAAGAGGTGCTGCAGCACAGGGGCTTTTGATAGATTTGCTAGACCTGGCAGTTTGTTCCTGTCTGAGGAAGGAAACTGTATGGTTCTTTCATGTCTGTCCCACTCTTTAATGTATGAAATTGGAATAGATGTAGCTGAAACCCCATATGATGTTCTGATATCATGCAGGCTGTACTGTAATATAACAAAATGGAGATTTTTATCTCTGTAAAGCCTTACATTTAAAGAAACAACTCAGACTGTTTAAACCAAGTAAAGGCAGTCAGAGGAAATGCATTCCTCCTTCCTCTTATGTTTGCTTGTTTTTGAAATATAACAAATGTATCTTGAAAAGGGTTGGCAAAAGAGAAATAAGCTAGTTAATGAACTAACTCACTGAGGAATTTGTAACCCTGTAGTGAAACAATTTGTATGTTGTCTACTGAAATCTCAGAACTTTCTAAAAACTTCACAAATTGTGATAATTTTGTTTGGGGTGCTTTTTTACATTTAAAAAACTGTTTTTACAATAGAAGTTATCAGGCTCTTCTCACTCCCAACTTCAGTAATGGATGAGGGGAATATATGTAAGTATGATTTCCTAGCAAAATAAACCTTTTGGGAGGCAGTTGTTGTTGGGCCCAGACAGAAGATGCCATGAAAACTATTTTTGCTGATTTGTGTCTTTGGTTATTTGTACAAATAGGTTTCCTCCAATTTGCAGACATCAGAGAGTGAGCAGATATGCATGAAGACATCAAGATCATTAAAATGCTTATAGAAATATTTCATTTTTAGAACCCCGGGTTTTTAAGTAAGCCCAAATAACACTACAGCTCGGAAAATATGGCAGTCTTCTGTATAACAGAATGCTTAGATTGTCTGCTGGATCACCACAGAGGCATGTTTTTTCATTAAGCTGTAATAATACCTTGGGTGCATTCCTGGTCATGGGATAGCCAAGGTCAAAAAGAAAAAACCTCTTCACTTACGGCTTTCCCATGTGTTTCTGCCTTGCCGTTCCTTTTGAAAGACAGTTTTGCATAGTCTCTATAAAAAGTAATATCAGAAGTCCTATTTGATTGTTTTGTGCTAAGCTTTAAACCACCTTACACTTCTACAGAAGTACGTTCATTTTATTTAGTGGAGTAGACTAAGTTGCAGTGTGGAAATCCTACATGAGTGGTTAGGGGCTTCTGAAGGTGCAGACGTCCTTCAGTAGCCGTTATAGATGCACACAGGGCCATTATACATGCACATGTTAACGTTATATGGGTACTTCTGAATGAACATCAATATATATCATAGGATTGTCTTTGTTGCTGCTTCTTAAATAGGAGAAAAATTAGGGCAGTAACTTGGTGAGGCCAGCTTTTTAGAATCACCTCTTGATAGTTCAGAGTACCTGTCAGTAATTCTTACTTTATTGGAACTAGTCTATGAACAGAGATTAGTCAAAATAAAAGATAAGCACAGATTATGACAGCTTTGTTAAGTTAGTGGGGTAGAGGAGGGCTTTAGAGACCAGAAAGAAGTCGATTTGGGACTCAGGCAGGAGAACCGTGATAAAGACAGAGAGAGCACTTTTTGCATGCTTGGAAAGTATGTATGTATATTCAGCTTCTTGAGTTGACCAGTACATCGTTTCCTCAAGATTAAAACTAAAAAAAAAAAAAAGTTTGCAGTTCTAACTTGGAAACATGTCTTGGTTCCTTGGCAGTAAATGTGGCTTGTTTTTTTTCAGTGTGTGTTTATGTCAACAAGCATGGAAATTCTGGGCCTCACCTGGATAAGAAGAAGGTTCAGCGGCTTCCAGATCACTTTGGACCAGGTCCTGTCAATGTGGTACTTCAGCAGGCTGTACAGGCTTGCGTGGATTGTGCCTATCAATCTAAAACAGTCTTTGGATTTCTGAAATCTGGCCATCATGGAGGAGAAATGATAACTGGTATGTGAAGATGCTTTGTTTCTTCCTTTTCTTCACTTGGTTGCAAACTTGAGGTACGGCAGCAGAACTGAAGTAGTTGCAATGAGTTTATATTGCTTTTGTAACTCTTTAAGCACAGTCAAGCTCATATACTTGTGAAGTCCTTTATGAAGAGAGTATTGGTGGTGTGGGATTTATCTCACTTTGGGTCCAGGATGATTTGAACAATTCTTTTAATTAGAATTTAGCAATAGCAGTGTTAAATTACATATACACAGTACAGTTAGAGTCTTATACTAAATAGAGCTTGTGCCCCTCATTTAGCAGTTGCAGCCAAACATTTGTCAAGTAAACTCAGTACAAGTGAAATACCAGCTTTATTAATTCAAGTCATTCGCATAATCTTACTCATACATAGTGTTTGTGTTCTTAATGTATTAACCAAGCGGGTGAAAAGTTTCAAACTAATCTGTTTAGCTTCCAGGCAAGTGATTCCACATGTTGAAGTTGCTGCTTCTTCCCTTCCCCCATTCCTCAGAATTGTAGCAGTATCTTAGGTCAGTGTTCATCCACCTATGTCCCCTATTATGGAATAGGTTTATTTCTGCTACATATTAATGGCAGGTCTACAGATAAATTATCTCTATATCTCAAATGGAGTAGCTGTTGCTTGACATTTTTTTTCCTTCTAGGCTAGGAAATAGTCCATATAGCAGTTAGCACGTCAATTCATAATTCCATCACTGGCAATAAAAAGACTTTGCATTACTTTAATCTCCTTACATTAACACCAGATGTGAAAGATGATTAGTGGAATACAGGTTCATTTAAATCCTCATAAAAATGTTGCTGCCTAACTATTTAAAAAGCAGCACCCCGACTTGCGTGTAGCAGAACTTCAGTAAGCCTTGCTTATGCATCGCCGGGAGTTTGTGCACAAAATGGATGCTGTTTCTCTGCTGTGTGGCAAGTTTAATGGCATTGTATATGTGTGGTTTTGAAACCCATGTTGCTTTATTTTTGCAAGATATATGAAAGTTTATAACGTTATTAATACCTTGCTGTACCTAATTCAGACAAAGCAATTTTGCTTGAAGAAAATTCACTGAGATAGGCATTGTCAGTATTCTGTTTGTGATTGTTTATCATAAAGGACTAAATCGTAGGTTAGTGGCATATCTGAGCTGTGACTAGAAGTTGAAAATAATTATTTCACAGAGGAGAGAGAAATTTTGAAATCTTTATGTAGTTTTGGTTCGTTTACATTCAAAAATTCTGTATGAAAAGGAACTACTGTTCTGCACCTTGCTTCACCCTAAGGCTTGGATTCAGAGAAGCCAGCTCTGTAGCCCTGGGTTTGAGGAACTTGGCAATGTGGACTAGTCTTGAAGCAGAGTCCTGGTCCAGGTGATAGCAAGCTGCAAGACCCCATTGGGTTTCTGGTGTTCTTGAGCTCTTGCCTTCTCATCGGCTTTGTCAAATAGGTTACTGAGAAGCGGGTGAGCAAATACTCCCTGCCATTTTATCAAAAAATTTGTGTGGGGTGTATTTTGAGGAGCACAAAGTGGGGCTTAGGTTAATGTAGCACATTACAACCAGCTGTGCCTTGTGACCAGCAAGGAAGAAAAGGAAAGCTACAGTAGAATAAAATGAGGAATTAGAGAATGAAATTGTGAGGGTGTTTTCTTGTAGAGTTTTTGTTTGAAAATGGTTTTGGAGTGTGGCTTGTTGCTTGGGTTTTTTGTTTTTTGTTTGTTTTTTTTTTTTTCGACTGGCAAGAAAAAAAATGTTGCAGCAGAGAATAGCAAAGAAATCTAAATCCTTTGTGGACTAATAAACTTTCATGACGAGTATTATACCTGCTGTAGGAGAAAACTGTATGCTGTTGAGGGCGTGGATAAAGTAATCTTGCTAGAATACATGTGACTAATTATCAGGTTCTTTTGGTTCAGCTGCCAAGGAAAATAATTGTTTTGAATGGAATTGAATTTAGGATTTTTCCATCTTTTCTTATTCAAACAAAAGCACAAACCATTTTATTTTTTGCTTGATGCATAAGGTTTCAATTCAGGCAAATATAACTGAAGGGAAATTAAAGGCTTGATTAGCAGGTCTGCTGATGGTGGTGGTGTCAGCCCCTTTTTTCTCCTTGTAGTGCAGAGACTATGGCATTTGGTGGGATGAAATAGACTGAGGCTCAGATAAATCTTATCAAACAGAGAAGTAAAATCACTATTGGGTGAGTTTCTTCACTATCAGACAAACACATTTCTCTGATAGTTTAGGGCTCAGCCTTTCTCCTGGCTTGAATTGTTATTTAAAACATACTTAAGTGATGGAAGGTGAAGAAATGAGAACGACTCTTCATCCCGGGGGCAGGGATTGCACACCCAAGCTCCAATCCCTGTTTATTTGTTAATAAATGTTGAGGTTATTGCACCTCAGAAGTACTCCTTTTTACTTTTCCACCTAGCATTTATCTGGGAAGTAAGAGGCTTATGTTGTCCGCAAGCAGAGCAGACAGTTGAGCCTGTGGATCTGCAGCCCACACCCTTGGTTGGAGTTTGTATGGTTGCCCGCAGGTGTTCAGGGTACAAGGGAGCCGTGTTTGCGCTGAGTCTTTCTTTGTGGATTTTTCCCCACGGCTGGGGCAGTCACATTGCCACAGCTGTTTCTTGCTTTACCCTCCTGACAACTCTAAGATAATATTGTTCTTTTTCAATGCTTCTTTTCAAAATGAGAAATTAAGGTGTGGAGAGTAAGTGATTTCCCCAAAGTCATATAAGAAGACCTGTAAGGCTATTATAAAGCATTTTACGTTTTTGCTGTAGCTGACTACTACCTTGCAGTAAATTTGTCAGGAGATCGGGCTGTGCTAGGTCTCACAGCCCATTTGCTCTCCTGAACTGGTTGAGTTCCAAGCAAAAATTTGACTTCAGAGATGCCTTCCCCAAATAGGTGGTAGAGGACCTTGTGTCTGAGCCACACGTGGGACTGTGAATCATTAGCATTCCATTTGAACGTTGGAGCCTGGAAAAAAGTGAATGGGCTGTGGAAACACGTGGGTCTGGGAGTTTTTCCCTGTAGTACTGACTCTTAAACTTTAAGCATTTGCGTTGGGACAGTCTGTCATGAAAGCAGATGGGAGAAGTAGCACGTTGTTGTTGATGCTAACTGGTTAACTTCCATTAACTGTAATCAGAAGCTTCTTTACATCTACAGTGTAAGTAATTGACACTTCTGATTTCCTAAGGAAGCCTAAAATATGCTAAACTTGGGCGTTTTCTTTGGTTTTGTGTATATTATCTGTCTCTCTTCTAACACAATATGGAAATGTTCCTTAATTCAGATCTGTGAATAAAGGCTTTCTTGTCATTTCTGTTTTTTGGTGGTGTGGTTTTTTTTAAATGCATCTGCTACCAACAAAATGTGATCCTTTAAAGCTCTACTTATCATTTGGAAACTTATGTTAACAACAGAAAGCTGAATGACAGGCTCAAAACTAAGAAGACAAATTGATGCATAAACCTGGTGTTTATGCCGCTTCTTTCTAGCCCTAAGTTTAAGTTACAATTTTTTTTCTGTTTTTTTGTAATGTCTTTCTAGTCAGAAGTAACTAAAAGTTTCAGCGAATGTAATGGTAATTATTTATCCGTATAGCGGTAGTATTGAGCATCTTCAAAATCTTACTAATTTTCACAAAAAAGGAAAATACCATCAGCTGCAACACTATTTGGGGGGCAAGGACAGAGGTCAACAAGTAAAAGACATAGGCATATGTCCAGGCTCTTTGTAATCACTCAGTTTAAAAGACACCAGATCCGTTTGTGGCTGTTGTGGTATCTCTGCCACCTAGCTCCTGTTGAAATAAATGGGAGCTTGACCACTGTAGTGTTGACAGCAGGATAGATTTCTCTAGTGGTAAAATAGTAAATGGTAAAACAGTTTCTGTAGTCAGAATTTCAATGGTAGTGGGTGCCAGCACATTACCGCAAGTATGCTCAGTTCAGTTAGAAACTGAGAAAAAAAAATCTTAATTTTTTTTTTAATGTTTAATTTTTTTTTAGCAAGTACTGTAAAAGGTCTTTTCCGCGTTATCTCCTGTAAATAGGTGGTAGAGAGGTTGCTGTTTTAGAAGCAAACAACAAAAATTACATGTCAGGTTTGGGTGATGAGGGAATAGTTGCAAGGGTTTTTTTTATGCTGGTGTGAATCCAAAATTGTTTTATTGAAGTAAGTTCCCACAGACCAAATTTAAACTGGCATAGATCTGATGGAAGACAAAATGAGTCCTTTGGATGTAAATTCATTAACCTACCCGAATGATTGTTTACTCCTCTCATTTCTTGTGTGGTTTAAATCAAATCTGGATGTCTTCTCCTTTAAGTTAATGATGGTGTTTTACTATGCTTCATGATACTTGGGGGATGTTTGACATCATCTTCTTATTCACAGCTTCCTTTGATGGGGAGAAGCACGCCATCAATCTTCCTTCTGTAAACAGCGCGTCGTTTGTCCTACGCTTCTTGGAGAAACTCTGCCACAGCCTGCAGTGTGATAATCTCTTCAGTAGCCAGCCTTTCAGCCCTTACATGGGATGCGCACATAGTCCTACCGAGTATGATAGGAACAAACCAGGTACTGTTAAACAACTGATATTTTCGAGTGCTGATATTTTTGAGAAGTGGGGCGACTTTATGAAATGTACCTTTTTAATCTGCCTTTCTATGATGTGAACTGATGGAAATGAATACGCTTCAGTTCTTAGTGAATTGGTTCCAGTGCGGTAGTGCTATGACAGGATGGGATAGCTCATACCACATGTGCAGAAATCATTTTGTTCAGCAAACTCCTCCTTGTAGCCAAGCTGAGAAACATATGTATTGTACCACTGTGATAATTCTAAAAGGACAAGCTTAAAGCTTCACATTTCACTTGTTAAATTTATGTTCAGATCATAAAATAAACTTACAAAAAGATACTTACTGCCTTATGAGAAAGGTCTTGCCCTGAAAGCGAATTCAGACGAGCCCTTCCCACATCAGTAAAAGGTCCTTTTTTCCTTCTTCATTCACCTTATGCAGTGGTGGCTCCAAAAATTTTACATTCTACTATGTACAGTCCAGTCTAGTCTTCTAGTAGAAAAGGTGGGTTTTGCAGGCTGCTTACGGTATTTTGTCTGAGGCCAGTATCTTTGCTGCACTGGGAGTGTAGGGTGAGGGGGAACCAAAATGACTTGGGCAAGATCTCCCATCACATTGTTTGCAGGGCCTGGTTTTAGCAGTCCCAGCCCAAGGGTTACCAGAAGCCATAGCTGAGAAAACCTTGGCGTCGGGGCAATTTCAGAAGATTCATATTGAGTGCGAAGCTTTCTCGCAGCTGTCTGATACCTGAGTCTGTCTTCTGGGTGCTGCTTTAGAAAATAAAATATTCTCCCCCCCCCCTTCCCCCCAATGGATAAATTATGTTTATAATTCTGTCTGTCATATGAAAGTCATTAGTTTTAACTCTTTTCAGCAAAGTAGCCAGGGTCAGGGTAGTTTGGGTTATGACAGTATAAACTAAGCTATCCTTCAGCTTTGAAAGCTTGTATCGAAATGACAGAGCCTATGTGATCCAAGAAACTGAACTGTAACTTGGTGAATGGCGATGTATGTCTGCTTGTGTCCCTGGACTTTCCCCATGAGCAGCTTTATGCTAGAATAATAGGCGGTGACTTTCCCCTTCACAGCAAAAGAAGAAATACCTGAAAACAGGAGTGCTAAACGATACTCTCATGACTCTCCACCATATACCGCTCCTCTTTCCCCTAAGCTTCCCAGAAATGATGCTCATCCATCTGAAGGTAATTACATTGTGTTGGGATTATATATGAGGATTATTTATGGTTTCAGTATTTCCAGTCAAAAAGGATTGAGTTCAGCATATGTGTCTGGTTTGTTTCTAGCCTTTGACAGGTCAGGGTGAAAGTATGTTAATTATTGATCACTGGCACAGATTTTGCACTTAGGGAAGATCTACTTGCAAGTTCCAGCAGTCCTTCTCCTAAACCTGCTAGCCTTTTATTGTGAAAGGGCTCAGGCAAATAGGTGACAGATGAAGCTTCCTGTCTCATTTATGGATATTTAGCAGAAAACCAATGGCCTCAAAATGGATCAGGAGATAAATTGGAAGCAACTCTGGGCCGGGGCCATTAAGTGAGTAAGGGTGTAGCTCGATGATACAATTCAGCTGAGTTTATGGCTAGCTGCCAGTGAAAGTTGTGCTGCTCCTGCTTTCCCTTGCTTCCTTGTCCTTGCAGTGGGTTCCAGGTCCCCCAGCTGGGTGGTGAGCTGAACCAGTGAGCAAAAGCGCAGAAAACATTTTGGTGAAGCGACGAGTCGTGTGCAGTTTACTCCTCTGGACTGACTCACTGTGGACTCGGATGAGCACAGGGAAGGGTTGAATCAAAAGCAGCCATGGCCATGGGAGCAGCACAGCCTCCCTGTGGCAGCTGCCCGTTAGATTGATTCAGCTCACTGATGAATAGCACCTTTTCCTGCACTGCAGCTCAGCTGCAGTAACTGAGCGCATGTCTAGTCTTAGTCTGCCTCAGATGTAAAGTAAAGCATGTAGGTTTAAACCTCAGTGAGAGAAACGTATGAAAATGTGGGGTTTTTTACTCTGCATTTGCTGCTTAACTAGTTAAGTCATGGTAGCTTGTTGATGTTGACTTCTCCCACCTGATATGTACTTTCTCTTGCTGCAAGATATTTACACAGCATTTCCAAAGGCTTTTTTGAAATATGATGGGGATTAGTTATTTCTTCCTTCATATTATTATTTTTTTTCTTCTTGTTGTAGATCCTGGGGTCATTTTGTGCCTATTAGCGTCAGTGGGGGCAGAATGATCTTATTTTCTGTGCAGGTTAAAAAGTCTTAGGACTACAGTTAAAGCAGAAAAGGATATCAAATTAAAATGTTCAAAATGATAGATTATTTGTAATGGTACATGTTATTATTTTTTATATATGTAGCATATTCACTTCTTTGTATATAGTAACAACAGCAGGAAATACAGCTCTGTATTGATTATTGACTTCTCTGTCTTTACAAAAGAAGTACTGGCTTAATTCCACAGATATATTGTACACCTAAGTCAGATATTTCTGGTAGGTAACTTAGTAAGTGTAGAGCACTTAATTATACTCAAATTAAGTTGTTTCAGTTGGAGCAAAACAAATGTTTGAGTAGATCTGCATTATCTTGTAAGAAATCTTCCTCAAAGTAAACGTGCACGCACATACTGCTTTTTAATCCTTGTTTGTTAATGGATGCCTCTTACAGATGAAGTCAGTGTACTCCTTAAAATACATTTTAAGATCAATAGTTCATTATAAAGTGCAGTTACTTGGATAAAAATAATTAAAATAAGTGTTTTGCCATGGTTCTAGAGGTTTGAATTTGTACTCTGTGCCTTTCAAGAGGCAAAGTGTTCTTTACTGTTGTGTGTTTCCCATTAGGGCAATGTCCTCTGCTGAAAATCTGGAGGTAATTTTATAGCGGTCAGTCATGGGTTGGTTAGCAAGAAAGATCCTGCCCCCAAAAAGTTCTGGTTCCATTGAGACATAGTTGTCTTGAAATAGTTGTTTTGAAATATCATTTGAAGGCAAATGGAATAATTGTGGGAAGGGGTCTTTCAAACAGCTCATTTTCCTTCTGATCTGCTCAGGGATATGTTTTGCAGATTTTGCTGTCTTTCCTGCTCACTAACAGTTTCATCTTAAAGTTATGAAAGATAAGGGGGGTTGGGGGGTAGGGAATAGCTCAGTCCCCCTCCTCCTGAAAACAGAGTGTTCTTACTATTGCGGCAGATTACATCATTCCTGTTATGTATGAGGCAGAACAACTGGCTTTTAATTCCCAGAGGAGCTTCTAGAAAACAAAACGTCCGATTCCTGCTAAAGCTTTCAGTGTTTAAACAGTCTGTCATCCTTACATTTGAAACATAAGGCCTTTTATTGGCCTTTTATTAATCTACCCAGAGCTCGGGCTTTCTGCAGTGGAACCTCCCGTTTCTTTCCATGCCACCATTCACAACCGCTCAAAATGTTGAGGTAGAAAAAAGTGCATCATTCGTTGCTCCGTGGATTGCAAAGCTCCATTTACTAGACGCCGATTTTGAATCAGCTGTCATACCAATTGACCACTTTTTCAACAAGATTGCAGCTGCATTTTGTTTGTAGAGAAGCTAGATGCATGGAAGGGGAAGTGGATTGAACCCTATAGTTGCTGAACAGAAACACCTTCTCTAAAAGATGATGGTCCTGGGAAATATACACAAGGTGGAAAAGCAGGCATGTGAATTGAGAATTTACAGTAAGAGCAATTCAAATGCTGCTCTCTCAACTTATCAGCTCAAAGCAGAGTTGATCTTTCCCAGCCCTATTTACTATTGTTTACTTTAGGATGTATAACGTCAGAGAGAAATCTGGGATGTAATTGGAATAAATACAATTAAATTACTTTGTAATACGGTCAATTTTAAAAATCTTTATGTCTTTAGGAATCTTGACAAGGATTAGGTAAAACAATTATTTTTAAAAATCCGTCTATTTGGGACCTCTGCTTGTTTGCTATAACTGCAAAAAGGGATTTTCTGAAGACATTACATGGAGTTTGCTGATATATGCTTAATACTGATACTGTAGTGGAAACTTTCTACTAGGCAGTATTGTCTCCATTGTTTCATCCTACCTTTCAAGACTTCTGAAGTCTGAATCTACAGGTTCAGTCAGTCCTTCATATAGCTTTGCTGTAACTATGAAGTATCACCTCTGCCTTTTGGTCTTGGGCTGTGATTTCTGTTAGTGATTTCATTCTCTACAGTTCTAATTTTCCCCTGGTTTGCTACCCTTTAATTTTATGGTGTGTATCATAGACTACATCTCTTAAAGTCTCTCTGAAATCCTATAAAAGGAAGGCTTTTTTTTTTTCATTTTGGTAAGTTGCTGCAACTACTTCAAGCTGACAAATGTAAAGCAGTTAGTTTTCTTGTTTGATTGTTTTCTTTGAAAACCTCAGTAGCCGCTTCTTTGCTTTTGTGATTCAAATCTAACAAACTAGAAAGTTTTTCAGTGGTTGTTTTGAGGGTGGTACATGTGAAAGAGAAGGGCTTGTGTCCATGAAAGCCGCTTTATTCCACGACTATCAAGTTTAGCGAAAGATGTTACATCGTCTTGCAGGTCTTGCCTTACTGAATTCAGTAAGTAGGGAGCTGGCTGTCTGAGTGCCTTTGTTCCCTTTCGGGATTGTGCTGTCTGAAGACCAAAATATGCTCAACAGTTCTTCACTGCACTCCACTTTTACACAGGTTTCAGCAGAGAACCGAAGACCTCATGAAGCAAATTGAAAACGCGCTTGAGAAACTCACTGAGTTTTTTAGGAAAATACTCTTCCTTTAGTTTTAATTGGGTATTCGCCCAAGAAATTCTTGAAAGTTGTCATATAAGAAGGGTAGTGAAAACTTTATTTCAGGAACTTGTTTTGCAGAACATACCAGTTCTTATCCCAAAGAATATGCTGCTTCACTAACATATGTTTTATAACTTCACTAGAGTAATTTTCAAGATGGTAGTGTGGGGTTTACACTTCTGTGAACCTGTTAGCTATATTTTCCAGCTCTTAACTCTTCTGCCAAAGCAGCATTTGTTTCATACAGATTTGTACATCATGCTTCCAACTTCTTTCTTGGGCCTAGATACTGGCCTGGTGCAGAGGAATACGTATGATTGCTAGAAAATGGAGCGGTGTTCCCATTGATTTGTTAGGTTTTTCAGGGTTTTTTTCCCCCTCATATAGCATATTTCTCCCAATCAGACCTGAATTCGGTTGACTGAGAGTGGAATTTTCAGTAATCAGGCAAATCTGACTCCTGTCTCGTGGCACAGGGAAAGGGACCTGCTGGACTCTGTTCATCTGGCTTAGAAACAGTATTGGCAGGCGCTAAAAATTCATGAGTCTTTTAAGTGAGCATTGTTTGTGTTTTGCGGAGTAGAAATTAGCTGATAAGTGATAAGAACTGAAACGGGGAATGTTGTTATACTCCCTTCCTGAGACCTGATTTTCTTTTTTTTTTTTTTTTTTTTAACTTGCTCAGTGGGTTGAGTAATTTACATGTATCTTTAACTTTCCAGAGTCTGTGCTCATACACCCTGCCCTGTGCCAAGAACTGTATGTAGAAACAGCATTGTGGTCGAAATGTGTTATGTTTGTGTGCCATACCTGGCACTCACGGCCTTCTGTGGTTTTGCCTGTAACCTGTTCAATTCTTAACAACAAGCTTTATGTCTGAACGTATTGCGATCTATAGATGATAATTGTCCACTTGTTTTGTTTATGAAGTTAGTGACTCCCTCTGCTGTTTAGAACAAATTAAACAATTGTTAGTTAAAATGAAAGTTTTTATTTATATTAAATTTTTTTTGCAGGATAACACACTCTTAATGGTTAGCTTTTTGAGAGTGTGTTTAAAATAAGATAAAGAAAATGCTTGACTAAGATTGTTTGATGTATCAATATTAACATCAGACAATTTTACACCCAAAAAACTATCTGAAACTTGACATATTACAAAAAATGTTTTAAAAATACAGTAAGAGCCCATTGATTATGTGAGGAAGAGGGGCAAACATTCAGCAGCAGTGACTGTCTCACAGGAGATTTGTTAACAGGCTTACAATCTCTCAGTATCTTCAGGAGAACATAGCAAGGAGTTAAATAACAAAGGTGTAATGTCTATCACTTTGAACATATTGATACTTGCTTTTTGTGTAGCAGAAACGTTACCTATAGAGGAAAACAGCACTTCCAAAGAACACCGATTTTCTGAGGACTCTATGGATTCTGCACTTAATTCTGTAAATCCTTCAAGCCCGACCCGTCGAAATTCCACAGAATATCGTACTTCAGGGAGTGCAGCATATTACAGAAATTCCCTTCAACCAGTGACTGCTACCTCAAATTCAGCCCCAATCCTGCGCAGGCTGTCCTTGACCTCTGCTGGGAGCAGTGGTTACTATGAAGTTAGTAGGAATCGAATACAGAGGCGGATTGAAGGTAGGCTATATAATTAAACTTCCCAAAGTATACAAATGGTTTTATTAACCTACAAAGTCCGAGAATTATGAATGAAGAAGTTCTTTGCTATGGAAAAGCTTGCATATGGAGTGAAATGTTGTGCCATCACCAAGCACGTCAGGCTTGCTAACGTAACTGCAAATGCAGAACTGAAGCCTGTTAGTACTAATACTGCAGTGCAGTGGGGGAGGGTGGTTGGGGGGAGGTCTTGTCTGCTGCACCTTCCTCTAACTGCTGGTACGGAACTTGCGGCAGCCCAGACTGAGGAGGGCTACTTATATGCAGCTCTTTTCCTGAGCATCTTATCAGCTATTACTGTATTGCTAGGGGTGGGGGTTCCTCCTGTCCCTCCCTCCCTCCGCGCAGCCTAGCTTGCCTTTGCCATATTCCCAGTTAATGGTGTCTCGGGACCCAGGAGCCAAGTACAAGTTGAACCAATCCCTCTAGGTATGTCGTCGTGCTAATGTTTATGCCGCTGTAAATATTTGCAATTATGGAAGGCATTTAAAGACAAATGGAACAGTTCAATATTATTTGGAGGAAAATAAAACATCTTTCATTTAATATATTGCAAAGAATGCATAATAAAAGCTGCATGTTAATATTAAGAACGTGTTGTGTAAAATTAAATGTTATCCCTGTATAGACTAGTGATATTTCTTCCTTTTATAATATTTTTATGCTAAAAGCTGCAAGTTCCACAACTGGACCAGATCTGAATTCACTGAAAAGGGAACCTTCAAGAATATCAAATAAGGATCCTTCTACCTGGTCAATAGAGGAAGTAATGCGTTTTGTGAAAGAAGCTGATCCACAGGCACTAGCTCCACATGCAGAACTCTTTAGGAGACATGTATGATGCATATCCATTCTGTTCTAGTAGATTGTGTGTCATGTTAATCTCTTAAAATACAGCTTTCATGTCTATCACTCTATTTGCAATTGAAGGTAGAGTAGACTCTACTTGTATATTAGAGGGAGGCTGAAAATTATTTTTCCACCCGAAACTCCTCCTGCAGTATATTTTTCTCTGTGTTCCAGTCTTGTTAGACTAAAGTAAATACCTGCTGCTTTCCAGCTTATATAGAATAATTCCAATACTGGAAGTATCCAGGTTCTAATGGCCAACATCCATGGTACCCCTGTCATCCCTGGTACCTCTAGAGAAGATGGCGTTCTCATGTACAGTATGGGGCATTTGGCCTACATAGTCAACACCTCTCTGAGAGAATCTGTTTTGGAGACTGATTACCTCAAAGTAGCGAGGCTTTTATGCCTCATTAGCTTTACACTTGGTCATTAGTACTAAAATTCAGAGAATCAGGTGAAATGTTAAATTCATCTGTTTTGAAAACAACGTGTAGGGTCTCATAAGATCTAACTACATGTTGTATTTAGAGAGAGAAACTGTGTCAGTTTGTCTGGTTTTGGTCTCCCCTCTTCCTTCTCACTGTGCTTTTCCATGGCAGGTTGCTCAGCAAAGAGCTGTTTTCTTGTTTCATTGTATATATGGCCCTCCAAAAAGAGGTTAGCTTTCTCTTTAGTAGTATTTCACCCTTCTTCTGCATCAGCTTCTGCTAACAGTTAAATCTAGGAGTAAGTTGGATTGGAAGGAAAACTCAAAATAACTTTTAATGGAGCTTCCTGTCTTACATTTTTTTCTTAGTTGTATAACAAGACTAAATGTCACTTGTTTTGTCAGGTTTATGTTAAAAAAAAAAAAAAAGACAAAGTGGTACTCTTTATGGTGTTTTAAGGAACTAATTGCCTGTCTACAGTATATAATGCTACTAAGAGTTTAGGACTGTCACATTTCAGCAGCTTCTCAAGCAGGCGGTTGAAATCTGGCTAAGTTGTCCTTGGTCTTGATCCTAACAATCTGTCTGGTTTAACCAGGACATAGATCTGTCTTTTTTCACAGATTTAGATGGTCTGTAACCCCTTCCTCCGTGTGACTGTTTGCATGCGCATGCCAGAATCCTCCCACAGCTGTGTTCAAGGTTCAGTGCAAGGCCTCAGTGCTTGGATCATTTAGTCGCTAACTGCACAGACCTTCCTTTGCAGCTTCTCCTTTTTCCCTTGACCCATTCACTTTTTTTCCTAGCTGGTACCTAATTTTGAGGGCTGTTTGGTCAGTTTCTTTTACTTACTATAATTTTCTTTGGCATCTTAAATACCTTAATGATACGTTAAAAAAATGAAAATAAATTCAATTTCAGTGGCCATCTGTAAATATCTAATTATACTAAGTTACTCTTTTATATATAGTAGATAAATTTTTACTGCAGTATAAACAAGTATAATGTACTTTCCAGTATTACCATGCAGCTTGTTAAAGTAGTTGTATGTTGTGTTTATTCTCTTCCTTCTGCAGGAAATTGATGGGAAGGCACTACTCTTACTGAGGAGTGATATGATAATGAAATATATGGGACTGAAGCTGGGGCCTGCCCTAAAGTTGTGCTACCACATTGAAAGACTTAAACAAGGAAAGTACTAGCCAGTGGGGATACCACAAATATGTGTGTTCGTATCACACTAAGCTCTCAGGTTCACAGCCATCACCTTTATTCGAAACTATTTTGCTGATATAAATCATGTTTATTTTTTGAAAGTGCTCTCAAAATGTAAAAGAAAAACATTCAGGATAAAGAGGGGGGAAAATATGTATTACGTTCTGGTATTTTGCAAACTATTTCAGAAAGTTTGCAGGGAAGGACAGTTGATTGTACTGGGGGAGAGCAGGTCGGGTAACAGTGCTCTCTGAATCCTGAAAAGTGCGTTCTCTGTTACAGACTTCAGCCAACATGTTCATATTCAGAACCAAAACAGCTGAATCCCAAAGGAAAATAATAAAACAAACCAGCAGCAGGTGTTAATAATTTTTACAGGGGTGGCTGTAAACTTTTATATTGCAAGAAAAATTTAAAATGGAAGATCTCATCTCTGTAGTCAGTACTGTGTCTGATCCTCCAGCACAGTAATACTCTAGTATAATATTCTAGATTATTCTTCCTAGATTTCCATAAAGGGAATAGCCATATGAATTGGTCATGGGGGATGGAGGTGTGGGGAAGGAGGGGTTATGGAGGAGAGGGCTTAGTAAAAATATAAGCTTTTATAAAGTGTGATTATCGGTCCTTTGGTAAGTTATGAGGACAAATGTACCATATATTGTCAATTTATGCAGGCAATAAATATTTCTGTTTCATGGAAGGGCATATTGGCTGTATAAACAGCCATTTCTGGGACAGACTGATTTAACTGGAACAACGCATCCACATTTTAAACGTTCCATCTTTTTGCTAAGTTTGGCATGGATATGTGTGTTCATGCTTTTTATATATACACGCGTATGTGTTGGGGAAATACATACTATATATATGAAAAAATATACCTACACACTGTACATATGTATTCAGTTTTTTAATGTGTACTTTGCACTGTGCCAGAGAGAACTGTACAATTTCTTGTTGTTTTTTTACCAGTAAATTTAGTTGTGTACTATTTTCATACTCATTAACACCCGTTTAATTTGTTGCCTATTCTTGGAGTCAGAAGGTGACAAACAATCAAAGGGTGGCTTTATTCATACAGGCGAGATCCCTGTACTATGCAATACTCCTGGTTATTCATCCCTTAACTCTGAACCGTGTATTCTGGTGTATTTCTGGAAAGACACATTTGGTTCTGATGTTTTGGGCTTATATTTCCTATAAGGAAGTGCTACTATGTTAACCCATAAGCCTTCTTTGGGTAAAATTGGTGCTGTTTGTATAAGCTGCAAGAATGAGTGGTGATAATAAAGCAGTTTATTGTCACTGCCAGTTGTAATATACATCAGGGACAAGAAAATATACTTTGTGTGTAGGAAACTGAATGTACTGTATGTAATAGTGCAAGTGATAAAAGCTATTTGCTAGGGAAGGTGTAGTCCTAAAATGGTAGGTTTTATTATATTTCTTACTGCCTTTTTATATGAAAGCATATAGTATAAATGTATTTTTTACAAATTCCTTTTCTGAAAATGCCTTGCTTTACCAATAGTCTGATGCTCCTCAGGTTTCAGCAGAGATACTGCTGCAAAATAATAAATTTTGTGGCTCACAAGTGTCAAAGTATTTTGTTAGTTTAAGTGACTGCAATGCAATTTTAATTTAGCAAGTCATTTGGACTTTGAGAATTGTTTTTATTATTACATCATTAGACATTTGGCACTGAAGGTTATCTATATCGATTTGTTTTGCCTATCTTTTGTGGTGCATGTATGCTTAGATGAAAAAGCATACTCTTTATAGTAAGAAAAGGTCAGAGCATTGATTGGAGAAACAGAATATTTTCTCTTTGTGTTAGGAAAATACTGACTTGATTGTTGGTGTAACTGTATGAAAGTTAGTTATGTATTGAGGAAAGCATCACGCCCCGCATGCTCAGTGTATTGTTTATACTTTACTTGATCCACCCTTTATTATGCTGAATTTCAGAGTTCTGTACTGTAAAAAGATCTCATGATTCAAGTGGACGTAATTGACTGAAAACAGTTTTCATTTTTTACATTGCCATTGGCATAAGAAAAACAAAGATGTTTAAATTTTCTGTTTGGCCTTTATGGAATGACATTTTTGTACATGGCGTTATAATGGGTATAAATATTTGTTCAAGGCATTCTGTGCACCCGTGTGCACAGGGATTACTGTGATGTTGCAGTACCGGAATTTCGCTGTGTGCTATAGCGTGAGATTCAAGCCTTCCAAGTGTTGTAGCAGAATATATTTTTTATTCTTTATTTTCAATGGGATGTTCTTATCTATGAAGAAAAATAAAATAGTTTGTTCACTGTTGTAACTGTCCGTTTTGTTTGATGTTGTGTGTATGTGTGAGCACTGTTTGCGTAGGCAAGGGTAGCTATCTTATCTGGCATTCGGCAGTTCTTGACAGTTCATGTAAACATCTGATGTAAGGAAGTTTTAATCAGAAGGGTAAAATCATTCCAACATTGTTTATCTGAAGCAATTAATGTTTGAACTTGGGTTGGTCTATGCTTTCAAAATAACAATTTAGGAATATATTCAACTATTTCATTTTGCATATAGCATTTTGCCGCTTACCGCTTAAAGAATTCTCGTATAACCACTGAGGGGAAGAGACGGCTATAAACTGTTTGTCCTGTGTTCAGATGAAGACCTGAAATATTTTAAGTCAAAGCAGTTAGTGGCAATAGATTTGAACTTCTTATACTTCATGCTTTCTTATTTCTATGATACGGAAGTCTGTTGTTCCAGTGGCTGTTTGCAGTGATCAGCCTGTGCTTGAGAAGTAACTTAAATTGGGTTAATGGTAACCTCAGATCCTTTGCAGGCTAATTATGGAACTTGGAAGTTGGTAGTAACAACACTCCAGAGGCATTTTGCATCTGATCTCTCTCAAAAGATACTGACTATCTTTTTGGTGCATATTTGATATAGAAGACAACATGATTTATTCTCTTTGTTTCTCTGAATTGCTTTTCTGTCAACCAAGATTCATCTGCTTATCTGGTTCTGTATCTTTCAGTCGTCTTACAATACAGTGCCATAACTCCTCAGTACATCTTAAGATCTCTTCTATTTGAAATGAAAATGCTACTGCCTGGAAGGACTAGCAGCTCTCAGAAGTCTTGTCACAGAAGACCTGTGCAGTATTGAAATTAGAGACTGGTGTATGGCAGGGTGATCGCATGTTGCAGTTGACATGACTGCACTTCTAACAAGTTTGTTGTGGCTGTATACATATTGTAGGACTCTTTCAGGAATGACAGTGAAAGACAGCAACATCATGTTATCAGTGTTGGCTCAAAGGATGGAGCATCTTCCCCTTTTTTGTTGCTTTTAATAAAAGCACACCATTTTTTCCTTCAGGTGGTAGACACAGGGGCAAAGATATTCATCTGAATAGTCATGGTATTTGTAGAAACTCTTCTTCCTTTTCGGTCACTCGGAGATATAATTTGCTCAAAAGCAATGTTAACCTTCTCTGTGACACTGACGACAGTTTTATGTGAGTCTGTGTCTGTGATTGTGTATGCCCTGAACGTGATACAAAAATTCTACATTTGAGTATCTCAAGTAGTCCAAGTAGGGGAAAAATGAAGCCCTGAATAAGGATGGCTAAAATTTGAACCTGCTCAGATGAAACACCATGGTTCTTTGTGCTTGTCTTCCCTTTAATTGGAGGTGAGATTCAGAGAACTGAAACATGGGGACACTGTCAAATTAATAGTTTATCTTCCTACTTAACTCAGAGGGCTCAAGTCACCTTTTCCTGTTCATGTATTATTCCTTTGGATCATGTTTTCCTGTAAATATGAATACCTAATGAAAGTCTATTCATATATATGTATCTATGAATCTATAATATAAATAATTTTTCATTTAAATGGCCTGACATCCAGAACCAAGGAGTCAGAGCAGCCTATGTCCAGCCAACTTGAAGCAGAGGCTGGTAGTCACTGTTCTAAGATAATTTGTGTTATGCTGTTTATCTGTTCCGTTTCCAGTTTGAGCTGACTGTGGTTTTTTTTCTGTTCTGCATTATCAAAGATTATCTCAAGCCTGCTTGGTGTTTTTGTCTAGACCACTTAGGAAACTTTTGTGCATGGTTCTCTATACCAATTAGTCTGAAACTATATAATATTTTAAAGCTTTTTCTGTAATAGACTTAAAATAGTAACTGGAAGTAAAGAGTGTATAGAAAGCTTTATAGAAAGCAATGCTACAGAGAAAACAAAAAGTACTGCTCAGCATAGACATGAGGGTTTTCAAATTAAATATAGCAGGTTTTATATCTACAGCTTTTTGTGTTTCTAGGTTTGTCTTCTATCTGCCCCGTTCTAAGTAAGAGTTGAGTGTATCACAGAATCGAGGACTCGTTGAGGTTAATAGGGACCTCTGGATGTCATCTGGTCAAACCCAGCTCGAGCAGGGTTGCCTATGGCCAGATGGCTTGTGAATACTTCCAAGGATGGAGACTCCATGGCTTCCCTGGACAGCCTGTGCCAGTTACCCTCACACTGAAAAACTGTTCCCTGATGTTCAGATGGAGCCTCCTGTGTTTCAGTTTGTGCCCCTTGCCTCTGGTTCTGTCACTGGGCACATCTGAAAAGAGCCTGGCTCCATGCTCTTTGCACCCTCCCCTCAGGTCCATTGACGAGACCCCCCCTTGAGCCTTCTCTGGGCAGAACAGTCCCAGCTCTCTCAGCCTTTCTTCACAGCAGAGATGCTCCCATCCCTTCATCATTTTTGTGGCCGTTCATTGGATTGTCTCCAGTATGTCTGTGGCTCTCTTCTACTGGGGAGCCCAGAGCTGGCTCCAGGTGTGGCTTCACCAGTGCTGAGGAGCGGAGAAGGATCACCTCCCTCGACCTGCTGGCAACACTCCTACTCATGCAGCCCTACTCATTAGCCTTCTTTGCGGCAAGGCCACATTGCTGGCATATGGTCAACTTGGTGTCCTCCAGGAGATCCTTGCTCCTTTTCTGCCAAGCTGCTTTCCAGCTGGGTGGTCCCAGGCACATACTGGTGACTGGAGTTGTCCCCAGGTGCGTGGCTTTGCACTTCCCCTTGTTGAACTTCATAAGGTTCCTGTCCACCCGTTTCTCCTGCCTGTCAAAGTTGCTCTAGA